AAATTGAAAGGTTTGATCATGTTAGATTACCCTCACTTTTAGCTACATGGTAGATTACTTCCACTTCTAGTGAATCAAGGTCCTCTCTGCAAGTGTAGTAACATTAACATTGACAATACAAAAGCCTCAAAACCTGCATGAAGCAAAATGGCAAATGACGTGTATTTCTGCATTGATCATTTAATCATCTACCGACTTATCTATTTTCAATTATTTATATGAACTTGTTTAGGTATATAAGCAATGAAACCATACTGGCAAAAGCTGCGTACGTTGGATTGGCGCCACCTGGTGATGTTGGATCATGGCAAAGAGAGCACAAGGTAATCATGGTCCCTCCATAAATCATTTCCACTCTAGTTGACAAAGAAGTAAGGTACTTTGTTTATTTTTTTCAAATGCATGCTTAATATATTATTTACACTCCTAATTATAACTTGCGTTTGTTGTTCTTATTTCTCTGATGTTATGATTAAAGTCCAACCATAGCTCAGTGCTATGCATAAGGCAAGCAGGCAATACCAAAAAAATCGCAATACTAAGGGAGCTTTGGTAGCATATTGTATAGTCCTTGCGAATCTTTAGTTGATATATAAAACATAATTAATCAATTGTAAAAAGACTAGGTCACGTGGCACCCTTTCAAAGACATTATGACGTATCATCGACAAATCTAGTTTTCCAAACATGGTGAAGTAGTTCTTGATTGTAAATTGTGCTTTACATGTAACTACCTGTGATAATGAAGGTATTAGTTAGGATGATTAGTATTTAAGCATGACTAATCGTGATGACTAACTAGTGCATATAAATAAGGTTGCGTTTACTTCACCTGTAGACAAGGATCCACCAAAAATGATGTGGTCATTATTGAAGTTCTGGATTGTGTCTTGACAAGTGTGCTGCACTTAACCCTCCTGGAATGTAAGCTGGTTGTGTTTTTCCGTGTTCTATTCTCTCTCAATGCTTCAACTTAAGGCTGAAAAGAAGGGGAACAGAAAGAAAGAGAGACGTAAAATATGGAAGGAAAATCATTGAGGGAGCAAAGAGAAGAGTGTAAGAAAGAGGAAGAAAGTAAATAATACAATCTTAAAAGGTGATAAAAGAAAGAGAATTAGAGAGGAAGTTGAACTCAGTAAAGAAAGAATAACGTAGAAGGATTAGAAAGGAGAGAAATGCATGCAAGAAGGTATACCCCAGAAAATGGGAACCTATGTATACCAAAAAGAAGGAAGAAACAAGCTTTGCAAGACGGCAAGACTTCTTCAAAGTTCATGACTTCCATTTGACATTCTCTATGTGATCAATGTCTTGCTTAAATGGATTTTGCCTGAACGAACATGCTGATAGATATAGTTAAGCTATGCATAAAGTTGATCTTGAACTAGCTGAAACTTCATTGGTTGACATGTTTTCTAATATTATTTTATAAGCTATACTTAAATAATATTAGCTATACTTAAGTGCTCATGGTTAAATTGCATGAGTTTAATGTGTTTTAAAGATGATGGTGTGGAACTATTCTTGCCAAACTTCTATTAGACCAGGTAATGATAATGTCATAACCCGTATCCATAAGGTTTCAGACTCAGGTCTAATTTATGAAGGCATAGTGTGATATAATTAAATCTAAAACTTTCAATGTTGTGTCTGACTTACAGTTTTAGAAGTCCAGCTTTCAGCTTAACTATGTCTGATAACACTTAGAAACCCTGCACAAGGTACAAAAATTATATGTTTGAGAATAAACAATAGACCTTGAACCATAATTCATAAATATAAAATTTCATGCTCAAATTATTTCTAGGACCGAGGAAGTAGTAGTTTGAACTTCAGCGTTGCAGTCTTGCAGAGCTTAAAGTGATCAAAGTTTAAAGGTGGTTTTAACTAGTGTGATTTCTAAGAACATGATAAAACTTGTGTGGTTTCAAAGAACATGATAAAACTAAGTAATCCACATACAAGAGGACTCCTAGATGACTAGATCTAAGTAAAGAAAAACTGAAAATCATCTTAACTTATAACGTTTATTCCAATAAAATTTTGTATGGATGTCAAATATATCAAAGAGTATTATTACCAGTTGAAATAAAAAATAATTGACCTTTGTGCGTAAGTACATTACGTGAGGATCATCATAATTGGCCAATCCTTTCAATAGTGCTTTCAAGCTCCATATAATATATTGAATACTTTGTTCTTGGATATTGGGACAATGTGTGTTTTATCACGTGCACACAAGTGATTGTACGATGTGACTCTTGTAGTAGGAGATCAAGGCTGATGTGTGCATAATTTCACAAACAAGTCGGAATGTGGAATAAATGAATACTTGTAATCTAGAAATCTGTTGGTGGGAAGTGGGTGGAAATGGTTCAAGAGCAGTCAACCAAGTAAAGAGCTTGTGAGTTAGACTTGTTATTCTAGTCACTCTAGTTCGTAGGTCAATAGATCAACAGCAAATGGGTTGTAATTTGGCATATAGCTGGGATTGACCTCAATAAAATAAGGTTGATAAAGAAGAGAAGGCGCGAGTGGGACGATGGAGGCAGGACATGAAACTGCCAAAATAGCAAAAATCAAGCTGTATCCTCTTGCTTGTGCTACTGACCTGATATGCTTGCTTTAACTTCTAATATATAATATGTCTTATGCTTCGTATGTGGGAATTGTGTGCACTATATACATTTAAGCATGCCCTCTTATGTGTTTGACCCATTTCCCATGGATCTCAAGGATGGAAATTGTGCATAATGGCCAACAAGAGGAAATGATTTCTTCTAGACGGGACAAAGATTTCTTGTATAAAGAAGGCCTATATCTTTGTCAAGAGTCATTATAATTTTGTTACTTGTAATCTAATGTAAATGGATTTTATTATCGAGTGAATGTTAGTTTATTGTAAGCTTTAAGAATTAACAGTATGATTCAAAATAAAAATCGTTCACATCTGAGTTTAGTAGATGGCAATTTGGGGCATGACATTTATGCTTCACTCTCTTACTGCTCACTATATTCCAGGGGTATCAGTTTTGGACCACGGCAGATGAAACTGGTTCCTTTGTCATTAATAGTATACAAACTGGTGACTACAATCTCTATGCATGTGTCCTTGGATTTATTGGAGATTACAAGTATGAAACCCCATTAACCATTACACCAGGTCCAACTTTCTTTCCTAAGTTTTCAATTTGAAATTCACAAATCGAAGCATCTATTGGATAAGTGATTTTTCTAACATTAGTGTTAAAATTCATCTCAGGTTGTGATATTGACGTAGGTGAGCTTATTTTTGAGCCTCCAAGAGATGGCCCCACACTGTGGGAAATTGGCATCCCTGATCGTACTGCAGAAGAATTTTACATTCCTGATCCCAACCCAACGTATATCAACAAACTATATGTCAATCACCCAGACAGGTCAGTTTCCAATTGTCCGATAGTTTTAGCAAGTACGACGTGTTAATTTTTCCACTAAAGAGTTGTTTAGCTTCTCGAGTGATAAAGTGATAATATCGGTATCTTATATCACTAGTTCATTGTAGCACTCAACATTTTGTCCTTGTATTTCTGATATACATTTGATAACAAAAAATTGACACATTTTGTCGTTATTCTCTCTTGGTAGGTTTAGACAGTATGGGTTATGGGAAAGATATGCTGATCTATATCCAGATAAAGATTTGGTTTACACTGTTGGTGTTGATGATTATCGAAAGGATTGGTTCTTTGCTCAGGTTACAAGGTATGTTCTAGCATTTGAGACTGCTACCATTTTGCTCTGTAACAATTCCATCATATTAATCTTATAGCGTTTTTTCAAAAGAAAACATGAAATCTGTTGCATGTTGTCATACTTGGCCAATCCACCTGGGCCAATGGCCCACTCAGGCCGAACCACGTGGCACTCCAGCCGAGGTGGTACATATTGCCGAGCTGCGCAATGGCCGAAGTCCACTAGTCGAGGCGCCTTTTTACCGAGGCTTGCAGACGTAACCGAGATCCATATGCCGAGGCCCATGAACCGAAGCCATGATGCTAGAGCTAGTTGAAGATAGCTGAAGCTCTCAAGCGAAAGTATTGTGTGAAATGACCGAAGCCCCGAAGCTGATGCAGGAGCCTCCGAACCACAAGGGAGTGTCCTCCATGTTCACTTCTCCCAAGAGATCGTCTGCATAAAGATCTTATTCGAATGATTGATGAAACGTTTGTCATAAGCATAAAGGTCAAGTCTTGTCACTAATATGAGGGCTCTGCGCAAGCAATAAATGCGCAACAAGCTAGCAAGTCAAGCCCCATACCTAGGATAAAATGTTTGAATTGAAGAGATGAGGCAACGTGCCACCTCATCCAAGGGCTCCCATTTCACATGTATCACTATAAATACTTCCCTTGTGTAATATCAAAGGGCCAATGCAAGAATCAATACAAAGAACTACACTTTACTCAACTCTCTTTCATTTACTTACAATACACAAATCGAGTTTATACACATTTACATATACATTTACGAACACCGGTTGGTAATTATTGTACAATTGGATCACGAACAACCCGCCGGATTTCGAACATCACCGTCCCGCGTCGTTGGGCTACTCCCACGCCCTTTGAATCGCTCGTTTTAGACCGTCCACGTGTCTTAGCGTGTTGGACATTCGCCCACGTGTGCGCGGGTGGGACCGGTATCTGTTGGGAATACTTTTTGGGGTCAACAGATTGGTGCCGTCTGTGGGAAACCGTACCATAACCACGAGCAACCTTGTGGTAAAAGTTTATTGAAAAAACATTTGGGCAACCCCCCTTGAAAAAGGATTTGTTCTTAAAAAGAACAGGAGGAAGCCCCATTACTTAACAAAATTTGAAGTCTGACAAAAGAAAATGAGCTTCAATGAAGATACTCCCCCCAGGAGGGTAAGAGAAAACACGAACGTGCCTCCTCAGCTCGCCGCCCCAGCAGCTCGGCAGAGACTCCACCACCACCAAAGAAGAGGTGGGATGCGTGCGATGGCACGACTATCAAGAGAAATGGTCGCCATGGCAACCAACATGAGGGATTTTGTTAGCCAAAACTTGGCTATGAGAGAGCTTATGGCCCAAATGCAGGGTCAGGGAAGCTTCCCCATTCCTCCATACGCCCCCTAAGGGCACTACTAGCAAGAGGATGAAGTTCAAAGTCATAGAGCTGCCTGGCCAGATTATAGCCGAGGTGGAAGCCCATTTGAAAGGAAAGTGGAAGTTGATATTTCTTCCAACTACGCTTCTGGCCGACCCATCGAGGTCCAAATGAGCCATGATAATTTTCCACCTCCATATGAGCAAGATCCAAGACAAAGGAGGGCAGGAAGTGTTTTTGATAGAATTAGTCCCGTCGAACCGAGGCTTAGGCAACAGCAGGCTCAACAGCCTTGGAATAGGCTACCTCCTCCACCTCCAATGCCCCAGCAGGCGGAGAGAAGGCATGAAAATGCCCCCCGTGTCGCTCCGCCTAGAAATAGGCAGCAGAGGAGGGAGGAAGAGGCTAGGGATCGCCACGGGACCTCTCACCAACAACCAGGGCATGAGGCTGATGAGTACGACTCTGATAAACAGCAGAGGCCCTGCGACTTGGACGATGACGATGAGAATCTACCATTCTCAAGGGAACTAAGGAATGCCCAGTTCCCGAGCCACTATGTTATGTCAAAAATACCAAAGTATAACGAAAGAGGCGACCCGGAGAAGCACCTAAATGCTTATAAAACTCACATGAGCCTAAGGGGCGCCACCCCAGCCGTGAAGTGCAGAGCCTTTCATTTAACGCTTAGTGGAGTGGCTGAAATTTGGTATAGCAGATTGCCACCTGGGAGCATTAGAAGCTGGCCCGAGTTCAAGACAACATTCTTGAAGAGGTTCGCGGTGAGCAAAGAAGGAGAGACCCCCATCCAACGTCTCCAGGACATGAGGCAAGCACATGGGGAGTCCCTAAAGAGCTTCTTATCACGCTTCACCGATGAGATGACGTACTGCGTACAAGTCACTAACAGAGAGGCACTATCCGTATTGAGGGGAGGTCTGAACATGAATACCTTATTCTGGAGAGACGTGCAGAATCAAGACCCCACCACCTATGACGCCCTACTCGAAATGATGAGAAGGGAGATCATCAATGAAGAATTGATTGAGCATAGAAATAGGGCAAGTAGAGGCCTCCCACCTCCTCAAAGACAGCGTGGTAGAGGCCTGACCTCATGGCACATGGAACTGAGGCGATGAGCCCCGTAGAAGTCGGACTTCCGTCCCCGAGACGTCTGCACTTCAGCGAGATAACCAATGACGAGCTTCGGAGGTTCGACCTCGACTTCATCGAAGAAAGAAGAGATGACTCCTAATTAAAATTCGGCACATATCATAGAAAGATGACAAGGTACTTCAACTCGAAAGTCAATAAGAGGTCATTCCGTATCAACAACCTTGTACTTAGGAGGGTCTTCCAGTCCTCAAAAGAACCTGGTTCCGGTTCCCTAAGCCCAAACTGGGAAGGTCCATTTTGAGAAGAGGTTCGACCTGGGACTTACTGGATTGAAGACATGAACGGCAAGGTACAACCCCGTCCATGGAACATTGAACACCTCAGAATCTATTGCCAATGAATATACTATCTTGCTGGATGACCTTTCCCAGCCTTTGTAACATTTTTATGGTTTAATAAAATTCAGTGATTAGATTAACGTGTTGTACTACCTCGACACCTCGGAGGAGAGGCTCGCGTCCCATCTCTGGGCCACCTCGCTTGAACTCCGAGGCGCTAGCATATGCCTCCCTTTGGCCAGGCTGAACACCAAGGGAAGAAGCCTCAACAAGGCTGCACCATCCATCATGTCTGGGATGCGTCGTCACCTCGGAGGAGAGGCTCGCGCCCCACCTCTGGGCCACCTCGCTTGAACTCCGAGGCGATAGCACATGCCTCCTTTTGGCTAGGCTGAACGCCAAGGGGAGAAACCTCAACATGGCTGCACCATCCACCATGTCTGGGATGCGTCGTCACCTCAGAGGAGAGGCTCGTGCCCCACCTCTAGGCCACCTCGCTTGAACTCCAAAGCGCTAGCACATGCCTCCCTTTGGCCAGGCTGAACGCCAAGGGGAGAAGTCTCAACATGGCTGCACTATCCATCATGTTTGGGATGCGTCGTTACCTCGGAGGAGAGGCTCGCGCCCCACCTCTCTTGAACTCCGAGGCGCTAGCATATGCCTCCCTTTGGCCAGGCTGAACGCCAATGAGAGAAGCCACCTCACGTGCATTCCGAAGCTCATACAGTTATTACGCTTAAGTAAAGTTCGTTTGCTTAAGTCCAAAGCTCATACAGTCCGAGGCTCGTGCAGTTATTACGCTTAAGTAAAGTTCATTTGCCTAAGCCCGAGACTCATACAGTTATTACGCTTAAGTAAAGTTCATTTGCCTAAGTCCAAGGCTCATACAGTTATTACGCTTAAGTAAAGTTCGTTTGCTTAAGTTCGAGGCTCATACAATCGTTCAATCCAGTTAAGTGATTGAAGTTAAGGTACCAAGTTAAAGTTATTTTGTTAGTGCTTCTGTCAACTTTTAAGTTCATTTGCTTAACGAGGCACGTACACTTGGATAAAGAAACAACAATGAAACAACAATGAATGAAAAAAGCATTACATTGATCTTCAATAAGGATTACAAAAGTAAGTTAAAGTTATTTTGTTAGTGCTTCTGTCAACTTTTAAGTTCATTTGCTTAACGAGGCACGTACACTTGGATAAAGAAACAACAATGAAACAACAATGAATGAAAAAGGCATTACATTGATCTTCAATAAGGATTACAAAAGTGGGCGTCGAGCCATTACATTCGAAAGACTGAAAAGAAAATTAATCTAAGCCTGGGTAGATGGGGGAGGCGCTTCAGTACTTGGGACTTCAGCAGCTTGAGCATCGGCATTGGTCTCGTCTACCTTAGCTGCTTCATTACCCTGTACCTCCTCAGCGGGGGTCTGAGGTACTTCGTCCACGAATTCAAACCTGAGTTGAGTAAGATTCAAATTGGGATACAGCTCCTCTGCCCGCTCCATCACCTCAGCATAGGTAAAGTTTCTCCAGTACGCACTAAAGCTCTTATACTCCTCTGTATTATGGAAGTTGGCGACGTACTCCTACACCGCCTCCTCCCTCGCCTGTTGAGCCTCCTCCCTTGCGTGGGAGGCATCATCCACATACCATTTGAGTTGGGTTTCCAAGAACCGGTTAGCCTCTTGGGCACCCACCAAGGAGAGATTTTTCCTTCTCCAAGGCCTCGGCGGTCACTTTCTGGTGCTCATTGGAGACTTCCACCTTCTTTGTCAGGGAGGCCACCTCGCACTGTGACTCATGGACTTCCTTCTTCAAGAACTCAATCTGGGCCAAGGCAGACTCCAGCTTGGCCAATTCTTCAAGTTTTTGGGCCCTAGCTTCTTCCGCCTCGGCCCTAGCTGCCTTCAATTCTTCTGTAAGGGAGGCCGTCTTCTCCTTCGAAGACTAGGTCCTTGTCTGAAAATCACTCAGGTCCTCCCTGCATTCAAGTGCAAGGCCAAAGGTTCTGACGCTTTGGCTCAACAAGGCCCTCGTCAGGTCAGTCGCGTCATAGGACGAGGCATGTAGCTGCCACCTATCAGTCCAGAACCGGTAGAAGCTCTCACAAGCGCTCCGGACCTCCTGGGGCAGAGCCTCAACCAAAGCTGGGGCTAAGGTCTCCTCCCTACCAGCTAGGAAGCTTGGAGACTTGCCTTTCTCTCGAAGAGGCTTTTGTTTCGCTGCCTCCTCCTCAGCAGCCTCGGCGGCTCTCCTCGCAGCCTCTTCTCGTACCTCCTCAGCCTCGGCCTCTCTAACCATTTCTATCTTGATGGCTTTGGAGGCGGATGCGAGCAGCTTCGGCTCGCCAGTTGATTTAGCCTCGTGGGACACTGATGTCCCAAATTTCCCTAACGAGCTGGTGTCGTGCACCAGCTTCCTCCTCTTCGCCTCCTCAGGGACTTTTTCTTTCCCCCGAGACTCTTTTGGCTTCTGCTGCCTCTGAGGAGCCCCCTCTTCGGAAGCCTTTGGAGTGCTATCCTTCGAAAGGCGTTCCACCCTGGCTCGGACCTCCTTGGCCCTACCGGACCCCGATTTCAGGGGCCTCGCCTTGACAGTGGTTGTGGCCTTCAAAATAGTAGCCATATCTGGAGCTGGGTACTCCCTCCTCTTGAATTTATCTGCATAGCACGTTAGGTCAGCACATCAGTATCAAAACAAAAGAACAAGAAAATTTACAACTGTGGGAGCTTCGTACCTCTGGAAGCCATCAGTCCAAAGTCCAAGAAGTAGCGACTCCTGTCGATCAGGTGGTTAAAGTGGCGGAGCTTCAGAGGCCTCTTGTAAATGTCCTCTATCACCTCGAACTCTTCTTTACTGAGCTCGAACCTCGTACTACAATCTGCAATGGAAGCTCCAACAGTTAGAAAATTTCAAGTGTTCAATTCAGAAGTACAAGTAGGGGCTTGGAGACTCACGAGCTTCGTAGTACTGGATCGGCACTGTGCAAGAAAGGGCCTTGTCCCCCTCCACTGCCTACCACTTTCCTCGCACCCAGAACCAGGGGTCCTTCCACCTCTTGATGGAGAAAGGCAGTCCCACCACAAAGGGTGCGTGAGCTCCCCAAGGTGTAAGGTAATATCACCCCCTGGACTCCTTCCCTATGACCCAAGGCTGGAAAAGGGTCATGAATATATGGAGAGGCATATCCTCCCCAAGAGACACATCTTTCCACAAAAAGTACAAACCGACCAGCTGGTTCCACCCAGTTGGCAGAACCTGGATCGGCGACAACATGAAATTCCTCAGCACCGCCCTAAAGAAGGGGTGCAGAGGAAGACACATACCTGCCTTAAATAGGTATTCGCTAACCGCCACACAACCGGGCCTCGGATAGCAGGCCCGCTCATTCGGCTTGGGAACTAACATTTCTATATTGTGGGGGACACTGTATCTCTCCCCGATCTCCCCCAACCTCTTCCACGTCATACCAGAAGGCAACCTAGATGCCCCCCACTCTTCAGTATAATCTATTGGCTCCTCGACCATGGCGTACCTGTCAACCTCGAAATCCTCCCTGTGATTGCCCCCATAATCTAACGAAGCTACTGTCACCAACTCCCTACCCGAGGTGGAATCCATTTCACAGTATTAACACAAATAAAAGGGCTTTTCTAAGAATAATACCTAAGGGAGGAACTACGCGGACGGAGATAGGCCGGAGAGTGAAAGAACAAAGAGTTCCGACGCCGAAAAGTTCAAGATTCAGAGAGAATCAGATTGCGAATGTTCAAAAGTCCTGAAAAATGGGATTTTCTCACCTTTTATAGAGGTCCAGGACGAACCCCAGCCGTCAGATCGAATCTCAGTCAATCTGAGCCCTTCATTGTAGATCAAATCCGAGGCGTTGAATTCAAACGCTTTTTCAAACCTACGCCTCAGATTCAAGCGTGCCTTCCACGCGCCCCATCCAACGTGTCTGCTTCTAGAAGCTCCAGCTGCCATCATAATTGTATTTTTAATTTGACGACAGCAGGCGCCTTGGAAGTCATAACGGTTCAGCCACTTTTCGTCGAAAACAAGCACAAAACATCAAATCATTAACACAGCTGTCGAGGCACAATCATTACCGACCACCTCGGCTTCAACATCAACATTCAGCCTTCAGGCCTCGCAGGTTCGATTTCCCAACCACCTCGGCTTCACCTTCAACATTCAGCCGTCAGGCCTCGCAGGTTCAGTTTCCCAACCACCTCGACTTCACCTTCAACATTCAGCCTTCAGGCCTCGCAGGTTCGGTTTCCCAACCACCTCGGCTTCAACTCCAACATTCAGCCTTCAAGCCTCGCAGGTTCGATTTCCCAACCACCTCGGCTTCACCTCCAACATTCAGCCGTCAGGCCTCGTAGGTTCGGTTTCCCAACCACCTCGGCTTCAACTTCAACATTCAGCCATCAAGCCTCGCAGGTTAGATTTCTCAATCACCTCGGCTTCACCTTCAACATTCAGCCTTCAGGCCTCGAACCTCGGCTTCAACATCAACACAGCCTCGGTCTCTTCATCGTTCACCCACGGCAACACATTTCTAATTCCAACTCTGATATAAATATCTACACTTGGACTTCGGGGACTATTATTTGGGGTTCAAAAAATTCTTTCAATTTTTACTTCATTAAAGTCCACGCATTACATGAATGACCATACTTGGACTTGGGGGACTATTGTTGAGTGTTGTCATACTTGGCCAATTCACCTAGGCCAATGGTCCACTCAGGCCGAACCACGTGGCACTCCAGTCGAGGTGGTACATATTATCGAGGTTGGCAATGGCCGAAGTCCACTAGCCGAGACGCCTTTTTACCGAAGCTTGCAGACGTAACCGAGGTCCATGAACCGAAGCCATGATGTTGGAGCTAGTTGAAGCTCTCAAGCGGTAATATTATGTGAAATGACCGAAGCCCCGAAGCTGATGCAGGAGCCTTCGAACCACAAAGGAATGTCCTCCATGTTCACTTCTCCAAAGAGATCGTCTGCATAAAGATTTAATTCGAATGATTGATGGAACGTTTGTCATAAGCATAAAGGTCAAGTCTTGTCACTAGTATGGGGGCTCTGCGCAAGCAATAAATGCGCAGCAAGTTAGCAAGTCAAGTCCCATGCCTAGGATAAGATGTTTGAATCGAAGAGATGAGGCCACGTGCCACCTCATCCAAGGGCTCCCATTTCACATGTATCACTATAAATACTTCCCTTGTGTAATATCAAAGGGCCAATGCAAGAATCAATATAAAGAACTACACTTTACTCAACTCTCTCTCATTTATTTACAATACACAAATCGAGTTTATACACATTTACATATACGTTTACGAACACCGGTTAGTAATTATTGTACAATCGGATCACGAACAACCCGCCGGATTCCGAACGTCACCGTCCCACGTCGTTGGGCTACTCCCATGCCCTTTTAACCGCTCGTTTTAAACTGTCTACGTGTCCTAACGTGTTGGACATTCGCCCACGTGTGCGCGGGTGGGACCGGCATTTGTTGGCAACACTTTTTGGGGTCAACAAAATCCAATTGAAAAATGATGACATTCCACCATTAATGTTTCTGAAAGCAGGATTAATGATCTTTGTATGGTGAAATAATTTATTGCTCCTTTGCAATGTTTTTATTCTCCCCGAATCTTGTTACTCTCATAAATAATAATTTACATATTTAATTCCAATTATGTGAGCAGAGGATTTGTTTGACAAGACATGGCAAAACTGGAATATCTTTCCAAGAAGTAAATAGCTATCCGTTGATAGATATTCACTATTCACTTGTGGTGCAGGAAAACTGGTGATAATGCATATAAAAGCACAACATGGCAAATCAAGTTCAATCTTGACAATGTGGATCAAGCCGGAACCTACATATTAAGATTAGCACTTGCATCTGCACATAATTCGGACTTGCAGGTAAGTTAATACAGATTATAATCCACAATAAAGGACTGTGCAATAACCTTCCCCATCCCAAGCTAACAATGTATGTATAGTTAAATATATTACATAAACTAACATAGTGCTATCGATTTGTTTCCTAGGTCCGGATAAATGATCCTGATGTAAATCCTCCGGTATTTTCAAGTGGAGTTATTGGGGCTGACAATGCGATTGCCAGGCATGGAATTCGTGGAATCTATTGGTTATTTAGTGTGGAGATTCCAGGTTCTGAATTAATCCAAGGGGAGAATACCATATTCTTGACACAAGCTAGGAGCAGTAGCCCTTTTCAAGGAATTATGTATGACTATATTCGTATGGAAAGTCCCTCATCTGTGGTTAACTCTTAGAATTGGAACCTTTAATCCTCATTGAATGGACTGAACCACTGATAGTTTGTGATTATCGACATTACTCATTTTTCCTATACGATTCAAGAAATGATTTACGATATGTTTAGATTCTATTACTTCTATGGCAATGGTACAGACTGATGCCACTAAAAGCATTTTTTGTGTTAAATTGTGAAGGATCGTATATGAAAGAACATCGTCTTAGATGGTTTAGCTTAAGAAAATATGATCTTGTAGAAAAAACGAGTTCTGAATGAAGAAATCTTCTTTGTTCTTGAAAGAAAAATGAAAGATGAAAATTATATTTATAGTTTGTCTCTGTTGCTTGAAAAAAGGGTGTGTTCGTTTAAAAGAAATTGGATAATGGTTAGGTCTTTCGATCCAAGACTTAATTGTCAAAATTTACAAACTTTCTTTATACAACACTTTGATTAAACATTCATCATTTCCATTAATGTATAATCATTATGAAAAGTCATTTGTTTTCAACGAATGACTACGTCCAAAAGTGGCATAATCGTAATATATTTATAAAGCGTTTAATTAATTGGACTATCCTTTCCTTAGAAATAGATTCCCCTTTTGTGTAAAACTTTCATTTCGATGCAAAGTTGGACAATAAAGCAGATGCTTCCATATGAATGAAATCTTAAAAGATAAATGCTTGTAACCTATAGGAACAAAATCTTAAAAGATAATTGCCCTTAACCTTTTACACTAGAGAGAGCAAAAATTGTCCTAAGTAGACATTGGGAGCATAGTTCTTTAAGGGTTTGTTTGAGCCACATTATTTTCAGCCTGTTTGGGTGGGATTTTTTATCCAAAAAATTGATTTTTTGACCGTTATTTCACTATTCCAACCGTAATTTTGATTTCTTCTCTCACGAGTAGGCCCCACTTTTCTTCTAACAGTCAAAAAATCAATTCTCAAAATTCATTCCAAACGGGGCCTTTCAAAAAAATACATTCTTCAAGAGTGATTTGAAATCATTTCAATCACATGCTCTTCAATAAAATAATATTACACACAAATCTAAAATGTTTCTTTATTTTTTAACTACATATTTTTCATTGATTTTATATGAATGATGCATTTTTTCCTAAAATGTGGCTCTAACAAGGGCTAAATTATTTTCACTTCTTCAGATAAACTGTATGTTAAGTTAAAACTTTTCTTTTAATAATTCATGGTTCTAGATATTATTGATTTGCAAGATTTGGGTTATCAACGGAACTCTGAAAAATAGCTCAGTAGTCAGGTTTTAGATTTGCTCTTAATGATCATCAGTTCGAGTCTTTTCAGGGTAGATGAGTATCCGATCGTAAACTTCGAGGCCCGTGCAATTAGTCGAGGTGCACGTAAACTTTTCAGAACACCCTCGGTCATGGGTTATCAACAGACAAGATTTGGAGAAATTTCTTAAGACGACAATGTTTCATACACATCCTATTGCTAAGATGCCACTCTGCATAAATCTGCATTTTTTAATCTCACTTTTTTTGTCTTGTTTCTCAAGTCAGAGACAGAGTTGGCGTGAAGTCTTGAGCCAAGAAAAAGCAATTCACGGGTGCCCTTCTCTTTGAGTGTAACATACTTCTAAGCAACTCAAAGTCACTTAAATGGATATTCTTCCACATGCATTGCTGCTTAAATATTGATACTTGCAGTTCGTGAGTTGAGATTACTTTTTTGTACCATCGAGTGATGGAGCCCAATGTGTCCATTGCTGCCATGGCTGCGCAATTATTCGTCCGAGATGACCAAGTAATTCACCTACTTTTACTTTTTGCCTTTCTATGTGTTTGATGCATTTGTCCTATACTATTGGACACGATTAGACATGAAAATAGCGACTGGGTAAGATGAGTACAGCAAAACATTGTTTAGCCTTTTTTTTTTTTTTTTTGGTGTAGATTAAGCTTGTGCTTGGGGGGGTTTAAATTCAGATTTCTAGTAGATTTTAATAAAAGTTGATGAAATGTAAAGTTGTGGGTTCCATGGAATGTGTTTAAGAGTAATTGTCACTCTGACTCAGATTAAGATTTAGCCCTTATTTGAGCCTCACTTTTATGTTCAAATTAATTTTGTAGTAGTGATTTTTTGAATAATGTGTGATTAAAAGATAAAAGGTTTTGAGTTTAAGTGCAAATTATTTTATTGTTAAAATGTGTGATTGAAAATGAGGATGGAAAAAAATAAATTATTGGATAATGGGTATCAAACGAGGGCTTACATTTCAATTCCTACCAAATAGGGGCTAAAATCAAATTTTTAGTGGATTTTAATAAAAGTTGATGAAATATGGGATTGGAAAGTTGTTGATCCATTTGAAATATGCAGATGGTCCATCGAGTTATGGATTTAATAAAAGTTAAAATTAATTGTTAGCTTTAATTTGTAGATGCTCCATCAAGTTTGGTTGGATTAGGCGAAGACCGGAATGCAACTTCAGAAGATGCATATGTTGTAATTGGACTAAACTCTATTGATTGTGCAGGTTGTATTAGACAATGGATTGCTCAAACTCACATTAACAACTCCCGAAGGCCTTATTACTGGAATTCAATATAATGGACTTGACAACTTGCTTGAGCTCAATAATCCAGACTTAAATGGAGGGTAATTTAGTGTGGATTTTTATACTTTGGAGATTTACTTGACGCTGATCGAAATATACGATTTCAACCAACCGTTATTGGATTTCATAAGGACTCCAATCAATTCTCCTGTCATTCTTGATAAATATGTATACTTATGGTCCAATTGAATCAAGAACATTTACAACATTTCCTTCAACTAATTTAGTAATAAAACAATGAATATACAGGTTTTGGGACCTCAATTGGAGTGAAGCTGGAAGTTCAGGCACTCGAGGAAGCTTTGATAAGTAAGTCTTCCTTTCAAGGTTTTAGTTTTTCGGAAAAATAGTCTTTATGTCTGTGTGAATCTTTTCCTATCGTATTCTTGTCTTGGGGTAGAAAAAACACATTTCATTATTGAGATTAGTTCAACTAGACAGTACTGATGATAAATTTGTTAAGAAACTGAAACTATGAATAAACTTGAATGCAGGATAAATGGAACTGAGTTCAGAGTTATAGTGGAAAATGAGGAACAAATAGAAGTCTCATTCAAAAGAACTTGGGATCCCTCATTTGAGGGCAAGCATGCTCCCTTGACTATAGACAAAAGGTGCATCATTACAGTAATTCTGCTACCTATAATCTTGATATTTATAGTTTGTGTTTGATTATGAAGAATTGGTGCTTATATAATGATATGCGATTCAGGTTCATAATGCTTCGTGGTTCTTCGGGCTTCTATTCTTATGCCATTTACGAACACACAGAGGATATGGATGCATTCATCCTCAACGAAACCAGAATTGCCTTCATGCTCAGCATACAAAAGTAGGCACACTTTAGCATAATTCATCTGTTTGTTTAAAATGCAAGCTGGATGAAGGAGTACTAATGCATCTATTTTTGTATTCATATACATGTGAAAGAAGTTTATAGAATAATTAATCTCTTTCAGAATCTATTCACTCATCGAATATAAAAAGTTCGTACATATATGTTAGGTTTCACTACATGGCCATGGCAGATGATAGGCAGAGGAATTTACCTCTCCCAGAAGACCGGTTACCCCCTAGAGGCAGACAATTGGCTTATCCAGAAGCAGTCCTCCTTGTTGATCCTGTGGAGCCAGAATTTAAGGGAGAAGTATGTCATCTATTTGAAAAATACCCATCTTTTCTCTGGAGAAGACAAAGCAAGACCAAGAACATCTGTATTCATGTTTTTGTATCCATATTTAATGATTACCAGGTCGATGATAAGTATCAGTACTCGTGTGAAAATAAAGATAATAAAGTCCACGGATTTATATGTACTGAACCCCCAGTAGGGTTCTGGCAAATCACTCCGAGCAACGAGTTCAGGACTGGTGGACCTCTCAAACAGGATCTCACTTCTCATGTCAACCCTACAACACTTGCTGTATGTTACTTGTAAACAAATCCTCGAATCGAAGAAGTTATGCCTAATACTTTCACAATTGTTGATATTTCCCTGTATATTCTTATCTGATCCTAAATAAATAGATCCATTGATCAATTTTTGTCATCAGATGTTTGTAAGTGCCCATTATGGGGGAGAGGATTTAGTGATCAAATTTGGAAAGGGTGAACCGTGGAAGAAAGTTTTTGGTCCTGTTTTCATCTATCTCAATTCTGTATCGCATGAAAGAGACTCAATTCTACTCTGGGATGATGCTAAAGAGCAGGTTCCTTTTCCGTTTATCAAGATTTTAGCATAATGAATGCAGCGACCCGTATTTTTCTGCTAAACTTCTCATTTGTATCAATTCATTCAGATGAAAAAAGAAGTTCAAAATTGGCCGTACAGCTTTCCAGCTTCGGAAGACTTTCCACGTTCTGATGAAAGGGGTAGCATTCGGGGTAGATTATTCGCTCAAGACAGGTACTATTCTCTCCAGCACAGTTCACAGACAAAAATTTAAAGTTCAAGTTTGCTTGGTCTACTAGGTTCGGGTATTCAAGAAATATACCAAAGTTCTGTAAACAATGCTTGCAAGGTACATCTCTAATGAAAATATACCAGCAAAGGGTGCTTATGTTGGAGTGGCTCCACCGGGAGCAACTGGTTCATTTCAAACAGAAAACAAGGTGCATTCTTTGGTTCTATTTCAATATTTCTAGGGGTGCTTCTCTCTGTTATTAAAAGTTACTTATAATTCACTTGCCAGGGTTATCAATTCTGGGCAAATGCAGATGATGATGGTTATTTCTCCATTATCAATATTCGTCCCGGCGTGTATAACATCTATGCATGGGTCCCTGGTTTCATTGGAGACTATCGATATGAAAAAGCTATCGTCATTACAGCAGGTACCCAGTATTCGCATTTGAAAATTTTACATTAATCTTGTAATGATATTTCATAATAAGATATTAAATGATAAAGGTTATGCCGTAAACTTGGGTGATCTTGTGTACATACCTCCGAGAGACGGGCCTACACTGTGGGAAATAGGCATCCCTGATCGTTCTGCTGCAGAATTCTTCGTTCCTGATCCTAATCCTATGTATATCAACAAACTCTACATAAATCGCCCTGCAGACAGGTTAGGCCTTCTTCACTGAAATATTACTAACAATTCACTGATCAGGCCATCTTCTTTTCTTTTCTGCTTATCTGCCTGTTGCAACTGATATCGACTCAGTGTGTGGTCTTCAAGGGCAATTTTTCTTTCACATTCCCCTCTTATTTTCATCTGATCAGGTCTTCTTCTATCGGCAGGTTTAGGCAGTATGGATTGTGGGAGAGATATGCTGATCTGTACCCAGATAAGGATTTGGAATACACCGTTGGTATTGATGACTACAGCAAAGATTGGTTTTATGCTCAGGTGACAAGGTACAATGTTAAGCCCCTGCTTGCCAACCATTATTTGAAAACTCTTTTTTTTACGTACTCATATTCAATTACACATTCATACAGTAAAATATGTTGCACGTAAACCCAAAACTTTTTAACCACATATTCTCATAAAAATCACTATTCAAAACATTGTTTTGGCCAAATAGGGGCTAAATCTGATTTAAGTAAAGATTATAACCGAAAATTTGTTTAATAGTCACTTCTCAACTGCAGAAAAGTAGGAGAAAATGCGTATCAAGGAACAACATGGCAAATAAAGTTCGAACTCGATAGTGTAGATCAAAGTGGAAAGTACACACTGCGGATCGCCTTAGCATCTGCTAATGTGTCCATATTGGAGGTACTCATTGCTCACACTACCCCTTAACCCCACCCCAAGAAGGAGAAGAAGAGAGTTCCTTAAGAGAAGTCTTTTGACACTTGCACTGGATTCTCATAGGTGAGGATCAACAATCCAGAAGCAAATCCTCCGGAGTTTTCAAGTGGATTAATTGGGAAAGATAACGCAATTGCAAGACATGGAATTCACGGGTTGTACTGGTTGTTCCATGTGGATGTAGAGAGTTCGTTACTCGTTCAAGGGCTTAACACCATATATCTCACTCAAGCACAGAATGAAAGCGCTTTGCACGGGATTATGTACGATTATATTCGATTGGAAGGACCTCCTCCCATTAATCTTCCAAAGCTTTGAGTGTCATTTTATACAGATTGAAGACTCAAGTGATAAACAGCAAAGGTATAAATCTGGCTAGGCTGCCCAGGCCATTTGCCTATTTGTATTATCCCTTCTGAAATGCTACTTATACAGATTTTTTTAATAGATTGGTATATCAAACTCGTGGCAATTACCTTTTTAAGAACATGTTCGTCTAAACTAAGACAGCTAAAAATTTACATTACTTTTTTGTCTTGTTATTTAGGTAAAAGGGTTACTTATTGATGCAGCACCAATAGAAATATTGAATAGACAACGAGAAAACCATATAATAGGAAGAAGAAATTAGGGGAACGGATGGAAGAAGGGGAAAACACAATAGAAGGAGGAGAAAATAATGGAGAAGAGAGGAGAAATTAGCCACAAGCCACCAATAATTATTATTCATTCATCAACTGAAAATTACAATGCAAAATAGGTTTAAATAGTAACGAAACCCTAACGAGATTGGGTCCGAGCCCATACAAGTCCAATTTTCTAAATAATAATAGTCCAAGAAAATAAATAAAGCTTAACAATAAAATAAAATAAGTAAATGTCCGATGTCCTCATCAACTCTCGCGGGGTAGAAGAAAACTCGACCCTGTCGATTGGATATATCACTATAGACTGTCGTCAATCTCCCAACCATAAACTGAGTGGTTGGGCAAGCTTCTTCCAACGTCTGTAGAAATGTGTCAGTAAAGGTCTGAACCTGGTGTCCTCACCAACCCCCCTCGGGTGAATGAGAGGCGATCTAGGCCAAGGAAGATCCTGCTG